GTCTACCATCTGCTCGAAGGCTAGCCCGGATGTTCCTGTCGCACGTGTATCGACTCCACGGGGCACCACGCCGAATCATTTCCGATCGTGGGGTCCAGTTCACAGCTCTCTTCTGGCGAGACTTCGTACGCCTCCTGGGGTCCTCCCAAGGGCTCAGCTCGGCGTATCACCCAAGCACTAACGGAGCAGCAGAAAGAGCAAACGCAGCGGTGGAACGTTATCTCAGAAGCTACGTTTCGTATCAGCAAACGGATTGGGTGGAGTGGGTAGTGTTTGCCGAGGTGGCATACAACAATGCTGTACACAGCAGTACAGGGTTCACCCCGTTCCGGGTAGTGTCAGGCAGGGACTTCGTGCCCATGCCAGAGGTCACAGGCCAGGGGGTACCACCATGTCAACCCGGGGAATGGATAACCCAAGTTAGCGGGGTATGGCGTGTAGTAACCATGGCCCTAGAGAAGGCGAGACAGGTGACCAAAGCCCAAGCTGATAAGAAAAGGGGACTGCAAAACCCTTTCCGGGTGGGAGACCTAGTGTACCTCTCCACGAAGTACATACGTCTTAGAGTTCCCAGCAAAAAGCTAGGCCCAAAGTACATAGGTCCATTCAAGATTGCCCAGGTGATTAACCCCATAACTGTGCGTCTCAAACTACCACGGACGCTGGGCAGGTTACACCCGGTATTCCACAGTAGCCTGTTGAAACCGGTATCCCACATGCGACCCATGGAAGCCCCAGGGCCCGTAACGTCCGATCAGTATGAGGTACAGGACATACTAGATTCCAAGAGAAATAGAAATGGAGTGTCGTACCTTGTGCGATGGAAAGGCTATCCGTTGTCGGAAGCATCCTGGGTGAAAGATAGCGAGGTGCACGCACCCCGTCTGCTTAGGAAGTTCCATCACAGACATCCCAACAAGCCGAGGGGGCAAGCAGGGACTGCCGTTGTGCCAATGCAAGACCATTAACTTTGTTTATTTGTGTTCCAGAGGGATCCCTGGTAGGGGGAGCGGCATGTCGGGCCCTGCGAGGCCGTCCCAGCCGAGTACGGCCTACCTCCCACCACCCCGTTTACCTTGCCCGAGCCGCAGGCCAGGGAAGCCGGCCGACCCGTCGTTCCGGCGATGCCGCCGCAGCCGCCGATGCCGCCGCTCTCCTCTGACGTCATCACCCTGCGCCTCACAGGGCCCGACAGAGGTTTCGAGAGGAAGGGGCCTGATGAACCCTCCGTCCTAGCGCAAAGCGACGGAGGGATTGGCAGAAGGGACGTCCAGCTGCTTGCCCGGCTGCGTGATTGAAGGGACATCCAGCTGATTGCCCGGTTGCGTGCTTGAAGGGCGCGGCCGGGGCGGGTCTAGGTGTGGGAGGGCGGATGCTGGCTTAGGATGGTGGCTTGGGAGGCGGGTGAGCGGGGGCGTATCCACAAGGGTGGGGCCGGAACACATGCTATGTAAGGCATTGGGAGCAAGCGCCTCCCAGTGCTGACTTTAATCTACATGGAGTGATTAAACTACCATATGTCTAACGTTCCTGCTTGCTGGCTGGTTTGTGCAGCGCCAAGACAAGACGGTTTGACAGATAGACTGATAGATGGATGGATGGATGGATGGATGGTTGCATAAAGATAGACAGTCAGGTATACAGAGATAGATAGATAGATAGATAGATAGATAGATAGATAGATANAGTATATTTTAAAATACTTATCTATAATGGGGTGAGCATAATGTAAGATAATGAGTATAATGGTGCCACAGCTTCTTGAGAGGTGCCAAAGTTTAATATTTTTCTGAGCCAGATCTTAGATCTATTATTGCTCTGTCAAAACCAGTGATGAAATGCTCAATTCACAAGTGGCAACTGTAACAAGGAGAAGTTTCCCTCAATTATGCCTACTGTGCAGTAGCATCCCTTTCTGTCTGTGACAGATATCACATTTGGCTTCCTCTTGACTACTGCAATCCATTGTATATGGGCCTACCCTTGAAAATGGTCTTAAAGTTGCAATTAGTACAAAATGCAGTAACTAAGTTGCCAATTGGTACAAGATATAGAGATAATATGATCTTATACTGAAAGGTCATTTGCTTCCAGGGCACTTCCTAAGAAGCTGGTATTGACTTTTCCCATTAATAACCTATTGGTCAGTAACATCAAGAGGCCAGGCGCTTCTGAAGAAGCCCTGCAGCCAGAGGCTTGAATTTCTAACACGGGCAAAGATTTTTCTTTTTTGCATTGTTTTCAACCTACATTCCATTGGGATATACAGTATAGTCTCCACTTTCTCAGCATTTAGGAATTCCGTAAATATGAACCTCCTCTGCCAGACTTCTAATTAATTGATTTAATTATACTTTTAATGCTAATTTTAACTTATTCTCTTAAAAAAAATTGTTCTCTTTTTTGCTTTTAAAATTTTGGTAGCCAATTTGAACTTTTAGCAGAAAAGAAAGTTGAGGTAAAACTAAATAATAAAAAGTATGTATTACCTCTGTTTGCTTTGATTGTTCCCCAACATCACTTCCCTCAGTTTATCTTTCTCTTTTTCCCCCCTATGTTGTTCAGCATTCATGAAATAAATTTTATATCAACCAGTGCCCATGTGGATCCTAGACCCAGAAGTAAATATGGGGCTGGAACTTTATTTTCCAGTATACCAATCTCCCATTTTTAACTACAAAACATTAAAAGATATGGTACAAAGCCTGGAAAGCACCACCATTTACATCAAGGTTACCCTCACAAATTGTTTAGTCTTTCAAAGCCCAAGGTAGCAAAAGATGACATACTGGATAAAGTTAACTTCAGATTCCATCAGGCCTAGCAAGTAAGACCAAGAGTGAGGCATGATTCAGTCTGACAACATTTGGAAAGTGACACCCTGCTGTCTCTTGATTTAAACAATAAGTCCTCCTTAATGATATGCAACAATTGTTGATTATTATATTTTGTCAGAAATGTTTTTGAGTTCAATATTTTGAGGTTGGTTCTATTATGATTTAACTTTGATCATAATAAAATTTCATATTTTCCTTAATTTGGTACATTCTATAAAATTATGTGTATTATGTTAAAGAGAAACAAGTCTAAAGCAACACAAGATCAATGATTCTTATATTAAGACAAATTTTACTTACTAGTTACAGCAATATTGATCTCGCCTGTCCTTGGAGTCAGCTCTCCATCCTGGGGAAATTGTGATATACCAGAAGTACGTAGGGGCTCAAGAGTGAGTGAGCTGTCACTGCTAAGGTCACCAAGTACTGATCTCCTGTTACCTAGCTGGCCTCTGGTTAGTCTTTCCATGTCAAAGGCCATATTGTCAGCACATGGTACATTTGTCTGAAAATAAGTATTGCCATATTAATGTATACCATTTTTACGCTGCCAGCAAAATTATACATTCATGAGATAGTATCATGAAATTTAAAACATAAATACCGACACCAAATGGAGATTCCATCCATTAAGAACTTGGTTCAAAATATTATCAAATTGAGCATTCTCTCCCCCCCAATGTTTATTCCCAGTTATGTGCATGTCTTTCTTCATTATACAATCTATTAATTAATCAAACTTTTTTTAGAGGTCACAAACAGCAGTATACAAACAAAATAACCAATGAAATAGGCGGCATTACATTCTCTTCAACTTCATTCATAATCTCTCCTCCCCAATAGAGATGGCCATTTTCCAAGTGGAGTTATGTTTTAATTTGGTGATGTCATAAATGTGACAAAGGAAAGAAATTCAGCCTATTTTTTAAATCTGAGAGGTTTAACAATGCAAATCAGATTTAATCTCTTTAATCTTTTTTCACTTTTTTTTCACTTTTTTCAAGTGTAACATTTGTGTTGCCTGCCACAAATTGGTAGGTTGCGCCTGGATTCAGCTACATGATCTGAAAGTGCTCCATGAGCCATTAAATGTGGCTTTTAGGATTTTAGGATGCTCATGTGTGATCTAGAATCAGTTAAATACTGCAAAAGTATTTATCTTAATTTAATTTGCCCCATTTAGTTCATTTGCAGTTTTTCACAAGAGTAAAGAGCAAAAAAAGAATATATTAACCTCAGGCTAAAATAAATATTTTTCATTGGGTGCATTAATGAAGGTTGCCTTGGTTTCTATCACCAACAACCCAGAAATAGTAAATACGTCTTTAAAGTACGGAAATTAGATTAAAGTCTGTTTCTTTAATGGATTAGTCTAGTTTAAAGATGTTTTAATAGAATAAATTTGTTTTGTGAAATAGGTATATTATAGAAAATAGCAATTACTTACAGGTTTCTTATGTCAAGATAATCAAGTTTTATTTTGGCTTTTTCATGACTAAGGATTTTTAGCAGAAAATGTCAAACTGTAACTAATAAAAACAATCCTGAATGATCAAAGGTTTTTTGAGTTATTACTTCCAAATGTACTGTTGGGATAGCATGGCTGTTTCACGCAAACAACTAACACATCTTGGAACTTCTGTCTCTTGTTAGGTGAATTTGTGATTTGAAGTATTTTAGAATGCATACTTCAATAGTATTAACTTTTTCTGTAAGCTTCAACTCACCACAATTCCCAAGGCCTTCAAAATATTCAGTTTACACATAGGACAGGTACAGTGCTCACTTAGCCATGGGTCTACACAGGTTTTATGAAAAACATGCCTAAAAATAAATGGGAATAATTGTAAACCATCAATATATGGCAGAGGTTATAATACTGTTGATTAGAATTCTGAATAATTTGTCTGGGAATTTTAATAAACTGACATTTGTACTTTTAACTATCTTAGTATATACATTATAACTGGAACTTGTGCATTGCATATTTCAAATATATTTTTGCTTCTATTATTATTTTTCTGAAAGAAAAAAGTAAACATGAAACAAGAAGTAAATGAGCTAATACCTGGCTATGTAAGGCTTACTAATGAAAAATATTTCACAGCTGTATACAAATTGCTCCTTCTTTTATATTGCCCAAAATATGTATGGCTATATATAATAATTCATTTGGGTCTATCTTGTGTTTATTCTTCTGCCTTATCTTTAAGCAATAATCCCATCGCTAGATTGCCTCATTCTATTTCTTTTTTTCTTACTCTCTCACTCACACTTAGCAATGAAGAACTATGTAACATAAATATAGATAAAGTACAAGAAGTTTGTTCCTGGACCTTTATCTACAATACTTTTGTAGATATCTGTTTGCTTTATTTATGGAAATGATTTTGAGATTATTATTAAGTGCAGTAATTTAATAATTTAATTGCCACCTCACAATGTAGAGTCTCCATTCAATTCCCAGTCCAATCCAATCAGAAGGTTCCATGGAGTTCCACTTAAAGAAAAACTGTATATCTCTGGCATACCAGTTGCGGAAGACATTGCACATATCCTTTTGATTGCAAACTATAGTCTGCAGAAAGGACTGTTTACTTAGATTCTTATTTAAAAACTAAAAAAAGCCTGGGGCATCCAGGAGAAACGGTTTTACATTTTGCAGGGAATGAACCTGTATATCATTAACAAGACTTCTTCCGTTTAACTTAAGCCAAGGGCTAAGAAAAGAAACTTGCGCAAACGGATTCACATATCCTGTTCACATTTATACCATCAGCAGTTAAAAGTCATCAAAATGTAAATGGAAGAATGTATCAGTCAAGTGTATTTGCCTTTGTAAATTATCACAGCTTTTGGGGTACACAGGACTATTTTTACTTGCCTTATATGGGAGAATTAGCTTTTATTCTTTATTATTTTATTATTATTATTTATTTAAATGTATTGGCCACCTAATTCTAGTGGACTGGGGCAGTGTACCAAAGTAGAAAAAAAACCATAAAAACAACCACTTTAAATATTCTGAAAGTGCAAGATAGAAGAAAGAACTACCTAAGAATGAAAAAGAAATATAAAAAAACAATTATCATCTGGATAAAATAGTCAACCTTGCATGTTTTGATAAGTCCCTATAAAGTTGAAAGCTCAAGCCTAACAGTAAATGGAGACTGGAATAGCAATGGAAGGCTTTATATATGAAAGATGACCTCAAACTTGAACAGGATATATATATAAAGTCGTACCAATAAAGGAGAATATTTGTAGCTCAGGATTGAAATGGGGTCCTTGGTGATCCCTGAACTTGGTTGTTTTCTTACAGACATTTCATTACCCAAACTAGATAACATCATCAGTGCACTGATGAAAATAGTCATGCTCGTCAGAAGAAAATCGTAACTAAGGCCCCCTAAGCCCAGGAAGCTAATGACAGGAGCAGCAAAACAATTTTAAAATGCAATTAATTTATTTTGAAGAATAAAACAAATATCAAAAGAGAAACTATTGGCTTACTTGCATGGCAGAATGCGTACAACATCATTTTGCTTATAGCTTTCAATGCAAACAGCGCAGTGATCAAAGTCTGGATCTGTTTCCTAAAACGAACAGAGTGAAAATTCCAGTAAGATCTATCTCCAGCAGATACTTATAGCAAGCAGCCAATGAGCAGAAGGGCTGAAACTATTCCAGGAAGAATGTTTATTTACTTACTAGATTTCTATTCCACCTTTCTTCCAGAAGCTCAAGGGAACTTATTTTAGAATCTCTCATTTTTATTCCCATGTCAGATTTTGCCAGGCATAGCTATCAAGTATTTAGAAACCCAGTTTCACATATAGTAACAGAAGCTTCACAGCCTTTAATATGGCTAAGATAAATTCTTTACTGCAAGTAGGAAAAAGGTCTTACATATGCAGAAAATCTGTTTACTGGAGAACACAGGATCAAGCCCTGTATGCATAAATCAGCCTCAAGGTTTAAATCTGAGACCTTTTCCTTCCTCCTTTTTGAAACCTGAGCATCAGCAACCACCCATTTCAGGTTCATATATCAGCTCTGTTTTGCCTGAAATTGCTGAGTCCTGCCTACTTCAGTTTTTCCACCCTGAGAGCAAGAATATGACATAGAGAGATCATAAAAATAAATCATATGATTTTTATTTACTACAGTCTGAATTAACTATCATCCTATTATTAAAGGGAAGTACTTCTCACACAAAATTTGAAACATTAGTTACAGACCCCTTACGAAAGTTCCAGTGATGCAACTACTGCAGTGGTAAAAAGGAACACGTGTCCTAAAAGCTGGGTTGTTCAAACAAATATCTTTTTGCTGCCCAATTCTGTATAATCTTAAATGTCTTTCCTGAGTTACAAAATTTATCGGTAAGACTTTACAAATACTAGGACTCAAGAAAGAATTTCCCATTTAACGTATAAACAAGCCTTTCTTTGACAAATAACAGCTATGTACTGCCCACATCAATCTGCAATCATGTTTCTAAAACCATGATTTTATGATTTCAGGACCTTTATTTTAGATTATAATCTTCAATTGTGGCATACATAATGTGTACACTTTTCCCACTTAATATAAGAGGAAAAAAACCTTCCCCTCACTGCCATAACATTAGCAATCTCAGTATTGGAAATAGAGAACTATTATTTCATACTCTGAATTTTGATTGTTAATACTGATGAATGGCAGATATATTCTATATGTCTGCCAACACTAAGCACATCTGCTGCTGCTTCCTGCATGATAGTCTTGATGTCTTTTTATCTTGGATTTACCTCCCTCTTAAGACAACTCCAAAACATGCCTTAGCACATTTTTGCTATTAAACTTTCCCTTAATAAGGGTGCTACAGGACAATAAAGTTTGTGACAATTCAACAACAAAATCTATAACTGATTTGCATACACAGAGAAGCCTTATTTATTTATTTATTGGATCAAAGCCTGACTGGTATATTTCCTGATAAACTCCTAGCAGTCTTGTATATGATAAATAAAAACAGAGGCATTACAAACAGCAATTAGTAAGTAAAAATTATGAATGGTAATAAAGTACCATGTTTCCCTGAAAATAAGACCTATCTCCAGAATCAAGCTATAGAGGGGTGGGGGTAGAGCTGCCCCATGCACCCTGCACTCGCTTACCATAAGCTCGCTGCAGCCAGACCTCCCACGCCCCGACACCTGTCATGCCGCTGCTTGAGTTCTTCTGTGGCCGCTTGCGGCTGCATGCTAACTGGCGCATTGCGCCGGTGCCTCTGCTCACGGCAGGATGCTGTGTGGCTCGTTGCAACAGTGCTGCGACTTGTGGCAGGCCACATGTTGCATCACACCGGTGTCTCCGCTCGCGCGCGCCATGGCACAAAACACACAGCCTCTTGCGGCGAGCGGCGTGACAAGCTACACAGCCTCCTGCTGTGAGTGGCGGCACCAGCATGATGCGCCATGTAGCATGCAGCCAGTCGCAAGCAGCTGCAGAAGAACTTGGGCAGCAGCGCAACAGGTGTTGGGACGTGGGAAGCCTGGCTGCAGTGGTCCTAAGGTAAGCGGGTAAGATATCTCCCAAAAATAAGACCTGGTGCCTCTTTTGGAGGCAAAAAAAATATAAGACCCGATCTAATTTTTGGAGAAACACAGTATAAAATAGTAAGTCAATATCAATTACGTAAAAAATATTTCAAAATTAGTTTAATCATTTATTACTTTTGTGCCCACCTTTCCTTCAGGAACTCAACAGGTTATACAAGGCATTCGGTGAACTTCCATGGCTGAGGATAAACTTGAACCTGACTCTCCCCAATGCCAATCTAACACCATAATTACTACACAACTTTGCTCCCACAAATCAGCAAGAGCAAATGGGTATATGAAAATTTAAAATAACCTTTCTGGCTGTAAAGGGCATAACTAGGGCAATAGGCTAGGAAAAATATATATAAGCAGAGGAGATAGCTCTGTGAATAATTACTGAAAAATGGACCAATCACTGAAGTTAAGTAAATAAACTGGAAAGAAGACACAGCCAAAGGCTAATGACAGATTTTCTAATAAAGTAACAGAGTGATACCTTATCACCTTTCTTTACAGTTCTTGCTGTTAGTTTACCAACAGCTTTTTTGGCAGCATCTCCAAGACGACGCTTTGAAGAAAAAAAAAAGAAACAACAGTGATTAAGTATTACAAAAACTCCACTTCTTACATTTGCTTTGATGCTTACACTAGATGGTACTTTATAATATTTCAGTTATTCTATCTATCCATCCACATGCAGACATACATTCTAGGGGGATTTGGGAATAGTATGTGTACAAGGATATTTTTGTAATTAAAATCTCTTTAACCAAAAATGTGAATCTCCTATTTTATGGAATCCAAATTAGTAACAATGTAGACTGCTGTATGCAACATAGTTCTCAACATGCCATTTAAATACAAGTCCAAGGGAAGCTCCAGTTAGTCTACTATAGATAATACTTCATTTCAGTCTAATCTTTCTGTGAAGAACTTTTCAACCTGTCAAATCTTTCTCTAAAATCTTTCCCTAAAAAAAAATATTAAACCCTTTTATCCCAATTTTACTAATTTTTAAATTTTTGTATCTGCGTTGTTGTATCTTGGTTATTATTGGGAAAACATTTTTATGCCATGTCACTACCTATCAATCTGGGCCTAGTTAGTTAGGGTTGCATGTATTCCATATAAGTAGTATTTTTAAATCTGTGAACCTCAGCTAAAGAAATTATTTTGTGTGATCATTACATGCATTGTGGGCATGTGCATCAGCTACATGCAACCAGAGCATTAACAGCTGTTTTCTCCTTTAAAACGGCTAAACATTTTCAACTGTTCTTTAGCTGTTGCTATTTCTTCATGAAAGTTTAATAAGACAAGCTTTTTAAACCATATAAAATTTTCATTAAGTTTCTTCAACCTTTGTAAAATACTGGAGAAAGAAAAGGTCTTAAGTTTTTAACCTATAGAATAACTTTTTGATATGGATATCTCAAATGTAGAATACTGTATATATGGGATCACTGCGTTCCAAGTGCTTACATGATACATTTTTCAAATGGCAAAGAGATGAAAAAATGAATTTTGAAAATAGAAATAATTAAACACTATGAACATAGATATTTTAGTTAGATAAATTGACTTCATCGCTATTGGAATGGGTAATATAAATACGATGAAAAACAGTATGGTACCTGACTTCCCACACCTTCCCAATAACAATGTCAAAACAAGAACATTTGAACACATTGGCAAAATCTAGAGAATATTTTGTATATTTTATATCATGACCAAATTTGTTTTTTAAAATGTCTTTCTAATGCATTCTATTTTAAAAATCTCTGCATACAAATGTACATATTTGTAACAATACTATTTAAAAGGTGCTGACTTTGGAACAATATGGAAGTTTTAGTGTTAGTCTGAAGAAATAGAACAATATTATTTGATACTTCCTTTCAGAAGTATTTCCATAATATAATTTATTGTTATCATGGGACAGCAATAAATCAGTTAAACTGTATTTATTGAAACTTTGTTATCACTGCTATTGCTATTAGCAGATGTAAGTCTAACATGTGCACTCTTACTTAGAGGTAATCCTTTTTAATTCAACTATATTCTTTTTTTTAAAACACCCTTTCCCATTTCAATAAAACTTTTCTTGAAAATATTACCATTTTCTTTAATATTCCCCTTTAAAGACACACTTCTTGTAGCTACCCCATCACAGCTTTAAGCCGGTAAATCCTGTCAGAATAGAGATTATTTTAAGGTAGTGATTATTTTTAGGTAATTGCACACTCCAATTACATGCATGTTGTAATTGGAGAGGAGATACCAAAGACATAAGCTTCTGAAGTTCATGAAATATGAAACTCACATACTACCAGTTTCTCCTGTTTGCTTTAATTAATATCTGAAGGATTTCTGATGTACATCATGAATTCTGATGTAGGAAGATAGGCTTTATTTATTTGAGGCTACTTTAGACAGCTTACAAAAAATAAAAAGGAAGAAATGAAAAGAGTGTGAACAGAAGTAAGATAATAGAATAAAATAAACAATGAAAAACAACTCAACGAGAAATAAAACTATATGATTATGGCTGCTTTGAATACAAAGCAAGGGAACTACAATAATCAATATTCAAACTAAAAAATCCATCTCAGTTTCTGATGGAGACAATGAGAATTGTAAAGGATTTTCTAATATTATTAGTCTAGAAGGATTTTTAAACACGAACAAAGTCTACTGCTTTTCCAAGGGGGATGTTTTGCTGATAATTGACCGAATAAACAGTATTTTATTTCACAAGAGATCCTGGGTCTTCTGCATGGGAGCACTAAAATTCTCTTATCTAATGTGAAAGCCAGGAAAAAAGATATTCAGCTCAAGGACATAGAATGAAGCAGAAGGGAGAATATATCTGCAATGATTGCTCAGGGAATGAGAGAAGTAAGGTAGGGAAAGCCTATTTTGGTGCCAATTACTGGCAGAATCTCTGGATTAGACAACTAACACCTTTCGTCTCCATAAAGGAAAAATGCTCTATAGTCTGTATCCATTGTGGTATGACTGCCAGCTACAAAGCATCTTCCCCAACTTCCCTCCAGTGAAGGGAACCAGGGAGAAAAATTGCAGACCCCTGAATCCCCTCTTCCTTCAGGATTGCAGAATTTCTTCTCCTGGGTTAAAATGCCCCTTATGCCACAGCAATTAATTGTTATAAAGAATGCTTGGATATTTATATTTAGGCAGCTAATAACAACATTGTATCCCACAGCAGTTTGAATGACAAAGCACTTTTTCTCAACCAATAGTCTGATTTTTTTATAAGTATTTCTCCAGCACTCTAAAGAATAATTGAAGTTCACATAGAATAAATCAATTTTATGGCACTATTGTTTTTTTTCTTTCTCTGCTGGTGCTCTTCAAATCTGTTCATCAAATTCCCATTCCTCAACTTACAACCACAACTGGGACCAGAATTGACAAGGGGGTAGTTGTGAGTCACATCTTTTTTATGACCTTTTTTTGCCAAGGCTGTTAAGCAAATCACTGCAATTGTTAAGTGAATCATGTGGTTGGTTAAGCGAACCTGGATTTTCCCATTGACTTTGCTTGTTGGAAGCAGCTGGGAAGGTTGCAAATGGTGATTCCATGATCCTGGAATAATATCATAAATAGATGCGGATTGCCAAGTGCCCAAATTTTGGCCATGTGACTATGAGGATGCTGTGACTGTTGTAAGTGCGAGGACTGGCCACAAGTCACTTTTTTCAGTGCCGTTGTAACTTTGAACAGTTGCTAAATGAATGGTTGTTAAGTTGAGGAATACTTGTATACTAGATCAGAGGTCCCCAACCTTTTGGGCACCAGAGAACGTTCCGTGGAGAGAAGTTTTTCCGCTGACCGGAGTGTGGATGGTTTTGTCTGCTGTTGCATCCCACGGATGGGGCTTTGCTCATTTGTGCAGACTGGTTGCTAGCATGCCGCGGACTGGTACTGGTCCACGGACCGGGGGTTGGAGACCCCTGTATTAGATTAAGTATTAACGTCAAACAAGGGGAAAGTTATCCATTATGTATGGAGGGAATTGGCTAAGAGACCAAAAGCTTATATTTTGTGGAAAAATGAAATGCCCAATTGGCCTATGCTAATGTAAACAGTTAATGTGCACTCAGTATCACATATAATTACTAAGCTTTAAAACTAAGGAACAATTATTGAAAAAAAATCAACAAAACTTCATTTGTATTTGTGTATGTGTGCATGTAGAGAGAGACAGAGATCTATATACAGTCATGAATATATATTTATGTGCACATATGAAAAATAGTAATTACATTCTAGTAAGGAACTTTCAAAACTAAAAAGAGTTAACTCCTCTTCCTACCGATTTCAATATGCTCCTACTCTTAGTCCAATATGTTTGTGCAGTTTATTTTTAGATGGGAGTTCTATCAGTCATTTTATCTGAAATGCCTCAAATTTGTAGCTGACACTGTAGAAATTTAATAGAGGAAAGTTGCATATACAATAGCAGATCATGTTTTATTCTCTTTCGTGAAACTGAATGGGTGCAGCTAACTGTTCTTGTTGGAATTCCAAGTGCAGACCTAGCTAATCTTTGGAGACCACAAGAAAACCTCAGGAGTTTCAGCTGGAGTGGGAAGTAAAAAACCAAAAGAAGACATGAGGAAATGAAAACCACTTTTATATTGTTACCAAGAAAACGATAGGGATAGTTTAATTCATGAAGTTTTATATCACATAATTTGTTTAATGTTTGACTTGAGTTCTTAAAGTTTGACTCTAACTAAAGCAGCCATTCTAGATTGTCAGTTATCAGTGATCTTAGTATCCAAGCTCCTTTCAATCCAAGATATTCCAATTCAAATTAATTAGAGTACTTTAACATAGAGCCATAGTTTCTCTGGGATAAAAAGAAAACTAAGCAATAGTATAAAAGAAAAGATCTTTTTTCAATATAGCTTTGATATTGCTAGCCAATGCAGTATATTTACAATGTTTTTAATGCCAGAGAAATGACACCTGCATTTCACATCCATAAAAGTAAAGACTGCATTGCAGTCCAACTGACACAAAATTAATCCTTAACAAATGGAATTGTACTTTTCAGAACAATTAACAGAATCTGTTCTGTCTTTAATAATGATTCTCTGTTTGTCCCTATCCCTTAAAAACATCAGCTTAAAGTCCCAATTGAACTTCCTTACAATTTAATGGGCAAATATAGGAGCTTCCACTCTGAAAGTAGAATAGAACTTTTCATGAGTATGGTAATGCTATTCTTTCAAAACCCTTCAAAGGTAGCCCATTCAGAGTGATTTTTTTTTTTTGCTGAACAACAATAATACATAGTTACTGTGACTGATTTCATTCTTTTTACCAGAAACAGAGTTATTTTATAACATTAAAAACAGAATGGAGAAATAGCTCACCTAAGCAGGAGACCTTTTAAAGTTAATACATTTCCTGCCACAAAAGCATTGTTTTTGTTTTACAAATTAAAAAAACTAAACATTCAGCAAAGCTCCTTTTGCATTCTTATTATACATACATACATATTTTTATCAAGGCATTGATAAAATTTCAATTTTTTTATGATTAGAATGATTACCTGATTTCGATCACGTGCACTGGTATATCTGATCTTCTGAATGAAATAAAATATTAGCCAAGCTGAAGAAATTATCATCAAAACTATAAATGATACGGATACAAAGACAAGGGAACTTCGATTAACATTTTTGCTTGGATGGCGTGTTCCCACGGCTATTGCAATTAGGACGGACATATTTTTTTCTAAATAATTCAAGATTTCTTTAACCTTCATCTCAGTGATCATGACCGTAACAATGTCTCCAGTTCCTACAATAAACAAATAAATATATAGGAGAAACCATTTGAGTGATATGCTAATGTACATACATTAGAAAGTAAGAACTTTTATTAAATTTAGGGTCTTTAAAAAAGCTATAATTAGTAACATAAGAAATTAAGAAACAATCAAAATCTTCTAAGTAATATATTCATATATGTCACAAGTATCTCCTTACTATAATTTAATTTCATAATGATATATGGTATATCTTAACTGCTAATTATAATATCTTCCTTCTATGATTAGGGCCTTGATGAGGCGAAGGGGCTTGGTATGGGTAAATGAAATCATGGACTATGTCTTCAGACATATATATGTTCAGAAAGGTAACCCAAGGCGAACAAGCCATGATAGATACCCCAGACTAACACCGATCACATCTTCCAACCTGCATTGGACCAGGGTGGCAGATTATGGTCTATTCCTTCCACATGCCAGGAAACATGCAGAAGAGGCCATCATCCTGCATTAGACAATGGCTAAATTGATGATGAATTATAATACCAGGAAAAGATGAAAATTAAAAAATATTCATCTTCTTAGTTTTAAGATCACCATTCTTTAATCCCAGCATCTTCAGGAAATAAAAATGATTAATTTCTTCAGTTTCTTTCTACAAGACATGGAACTTACTCCAATGTAAGGAGTAAGGAGCATCGAAAAGAAGAAATTAAACAAGAGGAATAATTTTGAAAATGCAACAATTTCAAAATATTGGCTTTATGAATTCCCATGTGAACAAGAGTCAGAAATTCAGGAAAACTGTAACACTGGGACAGTTAGCAGAAAAGAACTTTCATTATGGATCAAACTCTTCCTTACTGAAAAGGCCCAATGAAAGCATGCTTATAAATTATATACATTTATTCTAATATATTAGTGTGTGAAAAGTCATAGGAAAAAATATCTTAAAAAGCCAGAATTCAAGGTCATCTGATAGTATTGACTGGAAAAAGGTTGAAGACCAACAACAGCAGTAATTATTAACTAAGATATTTAATTATTACAAAATAAACTGACAACATAACCACTGTTAAACTTTCACTTCAAATCCACTCCCATCAAGGTAAACTGTAGGAATGGGGAGTAGGGCATTACTTGGCTCAGAATGACAACCTGTAACATTTATTTATATAATTGATCACAACCTGTAGTTTTAATTAAATATACTTTTTAAAAGCTCCAAATAACAGATGAAATCGACTGAGCTGAAAGGAAGGTCTGATATCTTAGTTCTTACCTTGATGAGTCATGGTAACAGGCTCATTGCCAGATACATTGTTGTAAATTACAACAGCTGAAGCATTATGTGAAGCTGCTCGCAGAATTTTTTGTTTAAATGTACAATTTCCTCGCTGCAATAGAGCAATCCACTGCTTTGTATTTGGAGGAATCTGAAACCGTGTTCGTGGATCGCATCCTAAACGATCTGGAACTAAAAATAAAGAATAGAGATTCTAATTTAATGATGTAATTCAAACAAAAGTCCCATGATACACTGACCAAAATATTTTCTAATTACCAAACCACATCAATTAGCACAATTTCCAAAGAGAATGGGGGAGAATGTTCCAAAGGGCAGGGGCAGCAGCAGAGAAGGCTCTCTTTCTGGACCCCACCAATTAAAATTCTTTAACTGACAGAGTCCACAACATATCCTCCCTGCCTGACTGGATGGGTCAGGCTGATGTAAAAATGGTTCCACATGTAGCATGGCCCCATACCATCGAGGGCTTTAAGGTCATAATCAATACCTTTAACTGGATCTGGCAACAAACTGGCACCCAATGCAGGCCTCACAGCAAAGGTATTACATGCAATGTCCCTGGGGTGTCCAAGAGTGGTTGTGTGGTTGCACTCTGTACCAGCTAAAGCTTCTGGAACAGTTCAAGGCTATCTCATGTAGAGCGCATTGCAGTAGTCCAAATGGGAGATGACCAGGGTGTGAGTGATAAAATGAAGAGCCTCCCTATCCAGGAAAGGGTATAACTGGTTCACAACACAAAGTTGAGCAAAGCTCCTTGTAGCCATGATTGCCAGCTGCTCTCTGAGCAAGAGCTGTGAGTCCACGGTTTAACTGGATAAGTCCCTTCCCTAAGCATCTCTACAGAGCTTACATCATGCTTGGCATCCAACTGAGAATGGATCTGGGTGATTTATCCTCCAGATGCAAGGAAAATTCCTTCCTTGAATACAAATAATTATGAATACAAATGCATTCAGAGAAAGTTGCAAAAACCTTCCAAAACAGCCACAGAAGCTTGGGAAAGGGACATAACTGCTTTAATAATTAAAAAGAGGTTCTTTCTACAATAGGATTGGATTGGATGAAAGTTCATGAGAAAATCATGGCTAAACTGAAAAAAAAAACATCCCAGAAGGAACATGCTGCCAAAAAAAACTGCATAGATATGTCTGTGTAATCCATCAGAAAGCAAATTTAACCTGAAAGTACATATATAGTACATACATCACAATATTTTAACTAGTTCATAAAATGGCAGAATTATTGCAATAATTTACAATCTTCTAACTTCAGCTGAACTTTTATGTAAAACATTCCATAGCATTAAACCTCCAAGTTTGACTTGAATACTAATGAAACACTGCATTAGCTCTTATTGAATACAACACTGTTGTTTTTCATGTTAAAACTAATTTTCCAAGTTTAAGATTTTCCTAATTAAAGGATTCCACTGAATGTATTATTATAAGGGTTCTTTATTGTGACACTGCTTTAATATCATATTTATAGTGCAGTGTTTCAGCCACTTGCTTACTATTATATTAAATCAGCAACGGCGTTTGTTGCTCTACAATTTAAAGAAACACAAGCTGATATTTTCTTGAAAATATACTTTGTGTTGTGAACTTAGTAATAAAGGAAATGGAAAAGCGAAAAAGGAAGAAGGAAAAATACACTTATCATCACTCATAATGATTTCAAGGTTGTAACCTAGTCTATTAAATTCAAAAAGAGAAGATGAAGGACAGACTGAATCCCACAAAACTAATGCAACACCCCACAGCCAGCACCTGATATTATACCATGGTATACGTCTGGGATATAAACTGCATGATTGTATTCATTTATGCTATTTGAACTTCTATTATTTGTCGCCTTAACTGATAAGCTATCTTTAGGCTTTATTGCCTGCAATAATCATTTTCCTCTATCTTCTTACATTTGAAATAATCAATACTGGAGTTAGCATTCATCTATTCACTGAATAAAAAGAAACCAGAAAGAAAAAGTTACTGGTGACAAAAAAATCATAAAGTTCTATACATTATGTGAGGGTTTGGAGGAGAGTGGGCTTTGCAATAGTCAAGCTCTGTTATATTGTTATATTGGATTTTTTTCTGATCTGGAGTTTGCTGTTTTTAATTGCATGAAGACTATTAATAACTTCCACTACAATTATTACTATTGTCACAAACAGAAGGGGCACCAGAATTTGGCAGTACATGCCATCATGGAGAGACAAATGCTCTGTGCCTAATATCTCTTACCTTCTACCGACAGAACGTTAGCACAATATACAATTTATGAACCTTGGGACTACCAGATCAGTTTCCACGCTAGAATAATAAGTCAGGATAGTTACCATGTCATCTTCTTCTACTCATCTTTTTATTAGACGTGCAAGAAACAGTTAAACATTAAGAAAAAGAAAACATAAATTGAGGTATGTTACTTAACTCTTAAATATTTAAAAATCACCCCAACATCAAAGTACACATATTCTTTGACTTATGACCACAATTGAGCCCAAAATTTATGTTGCTAAGCAAGGCAGTTATTAAGTGAGTTTTTGCCTCATTTTACAATCTTTTTTTAACCACGGTTCTTAAGTGAATCACTGCAGTTGTTAAGTGAATCATGTAGTGGCTTTCCCCACTGACTTTGCTGGTCGAAAACCAACTGGGAAGGTTACAAATGGGTGATTACATGACCATGGGGCAGTGCAACTGTCATAAATACATGCCAGTTGCTAAGCACCTAAATTTTGATCACATGACCATGGGTCTATGTTGCAATGGTCGTTAAGTGTGAAACCCGGTCTAAGTCACCTTTTTTAACACTATTGCAACTTCGAACGGTCACTAAACAAGTGGTTGTAAGTCAAGGACTACCTGTACAGTCCCATAAAAATTATTTAAGCAATCACCAGGGTATTCAAAGCATATTCCAATAGTTACTGGAAATAAGGAAAATTACTATACACCTAAAGTGCCTGATTTATCAATCAGCATTTTAAGGGACATAGACAACTATGTCAGCAAGTTTAATTATCAATAGTTTTCCATTACCATCTGTCATCTATGATCAGTTATTCAGAATCCATTTGTAATGTATATTTTTCCCAAGCTAGAGATTCTAGATATCCAAGCTGGAAAGTCTCCATGATATAATGAAAAGCAATTTAAGAGTAATTCCAAACTTCTACAAATCACCTATTTAAAAAGATGTAATCTGATGTCATTTATATCATTTTTACAGAAAAGCTCAATATATACATTTTATTTTTTGTTTTTCCGTGAGATGCCAATTCCATCACTTGGCCTATTCAATCCCTAAACCTTTCTGCACAGCTATGCCTCTAGGTAAAAAATTTGGAACCGCTTTCTATCTTTTTATATGTAACCCTTGGCTTATGGCAGCTGTTTAACAACCATCCAAAGTTACGATGGACTTGGAAAGGGTGCTTTATGGCCCCAAAAGTCCTTCTGGCTGTCATAAAATGTTGCATCATCCCCCGCTGTAGTTATATAGCAATGGCACTTAGACTTATATACCGCTTCACAGTGTTTTACAGCCCTCTGTACAGAGTCAGCATATTGCCCCCAACAGTTTGGGTACATGATCTCAATATGGATGCTTGGCAACCTATTCTCACAACCAGTTACAAAGTGCCCCACAATCATGTGATTAATGTTTACAATCTTCTCTGCCAGTTTCCCCAGAAAGTCAGTGAGGAAGCCAGGAGGAAAGGTTACTGCTGCCTGCCAAGAGGAGCCCGTCTTGTGTCTGGGGACTAACTCAAAGACCTGCCCTGCTGAGTGCAGCTGAACAATTTTGGCAGGGTGCAGAAAGAGAGCACAGATTCCAAAGATCTGAACTCTGTTCCTGTAATCCACCTGAGCAGTAAATGCCGGAGAGTCCTTAGTGAAGGACTGGTCATAAGTCACTTTTTTCAGTGCTGTCATAAGTTGGAATGGTCACTGAACAAATGGATGCAATTTGAGGACTACCTGTAATATATCTTTCCTTGAAGCTGCCCCTATTATCTCTTGCAGTGACACAGACATTTCATAAAAACAAATGTCAGGAAAAAATTTAAAATGAACTTTCCAGTGATATGTATGGTTATGAAAGTTGGGGAAAAAGCAAGAGAAATGTGATACTGTACTAAGAACCTTTTAAATTATGGATTTAGAGCTGATTATTAAGAGCACTATACCAGATTTACAGACAAGGAATCGTAATAGGAAACAGCAAGGGAATATATGTCCCTTCAGAAAGGGAAACCACAGATAGACAACAGGACTCATGGAATAGATTTTGCAATCAAAACTGCTCTGCTGAAGAAAATCTCTATTCCACAGACTGGAATAAATGGATGTATTATGAACTTCTGTTTTCCTCTCAGCAAATCCATCTCATCAACATTGTCACTGTCTATAAACCAACTCTCATGAGAGCAAACAAGGATAAGGAAGATGTCTATGAACCATGAATCTGGACCAGGTTATTCAAACCTCAATGGCTATGATAATTCTGAAACTGTCATCATTCTGGATGACTTCAATGCCAGGGTGCAAACAAATAGCAACAACTGGGATAGAGTCCTTCGGAAGCATGGGGTGGGGAAACAGTAATAGCCTGAGTACAACCTAAGTATGCTGAATACAACCTGTGCCTCACTTACACAATATTCAGATTTGCAAACAAATACAAACCTAGTTGGATGTATCCGAGTTTCAAAGAGTGGCACTTACATCATAATACATCTGCATGATATTAAAGTACTGAATGCTGGACAGATCAGAGGTTGGTCCAGTAAGTGCTCAACCTGTTCATAACCCCTTTATGCCATATGCAACCAAGGGTTGTAAAAACACCATTCAACAATGGCAGGCAGCAAAACTCAGGATAAGTCCAATGTTTTCAAGATATACTTAATGAAAAACCCTGCAGCAATTTACCTCTTGTAGGAACCTGTTCTGAAAAGTGGATGCAGTTTAAAAATGTCCTCATATAGACTGCAACAACTGTTCTTAGACTGAAAACACAGATGCACCAAGACAGGCTTGATGAAAACCACAAGGCCATTTCAGACCAAGAAGCCTATACAGACTGGCAGATTGATCCATTATTAGTCTCAAGGAAAGGTAAGTTTGAAGTACCATCCATGGTAAAGACAGAACTAT